TATCAGGTGCCTAAAAGAGAGCTCAGGTTCTCAACTGGCTCAGCCATGTTAATAGTGTTATTGTTATCCACTCTGTATATGTGTTTTTCTAGCTAAATAAACTGTTTCAATTAAATTCAATTCAATTAGGTTGATCAACTTACCGCACTTAGGTAATCAATATGTATCGCACGGAGCATCTAAAGTGTGCTCTCGTCCTGAGTGGCCAGCCCTGGACGAATGTACACTCGGAAACCATAATCTCTAGCCCACCTGGGTTGGTACTGGAGGTTAAAACAGTGTCCTTTCTGGATGGGGGCCCACTCTAACAATCACGAGGCAAAACACGCACGAACACACACAGTCATAGTACGGCTGTATAGATGACATTATGTATAAATATTGTATATGGCATTTTATACTCTGTATTATCTTCATTATACATGAACATGAAGAAAAATACCATAGGTTATAGTTACGAAAGTGTGAATGGAAATAAACAATTCCAAACCACCCAGTGACTCCCCACAACGTGTGTGTGTGTGTGTGTGCCAGACCACGATGCTTCCCATCATTCTCATAACTATTTGAAAAATCGTGTTTAATTTAACTACATATTTCAAAAACCTTAAATTACATGTGGATCAGTCACTCCATATTTGACACACTTATAGTGTAATACTTTGACCATCCCACCTAGGCACATGGAGGCCCACGGTAACTCTCACGGGGCAACATATGTACGAACACACAAGTTATGATATGAACCCTTCCAGACTTCACTATCATTATCATGTTATGTTCATCGTGCTCTGTATCTTGGTAACTAGTCATAGTGTCAATGCATGACAGTGTTATTGGTATAATATTGTAACTTTTACCCAACAGTTATTGTTGTAAATCATGGACAGGAAGTATACATAAATTGTAATATCAAGTGTATGGTTCGCTCAAAGCCACCCCAAGTCTGACTCTGCGTCACACAAAGTTACACTGTGTGTGTGTGTGTGTGTGTGTGTGTGTGTGTGTGTGTGTGTGTGTGTGTTCTGTAACATTAAGCTTCATCTTTAGTAGGTAAGATGTTTCATAAAGAGGTTTCTCCCATTCGTCATTGTGAGCATCGTCCCAGAGCACATTTTTTTCCATCAAAACCATGGTTCTAAGTGCTTGCTTTTCATTTCTTTATTTACCAAAATAATGTGGATCAGTTATTCGTTATTTAATACATACATGCACTTAGAGCATCAAGATTTTTTTTGTAGGCATTACTATTGGTTAATTTAAACCCCAAACATATTTTTCAATTTTATTATGCATAAACATTGTAAAAATATCTTTGTGATTATTGTAGTATATAACATATATTTAATGTCTGGACAGAATCCCAAGAGTTATGCACAATAATGCATAGATTATGTAAACATATTTTTGCGAAGTGACGTAAAACCACATAGTAAAATACCTGGACAAATTCCCGAGAGTTAGGAAACGAAGTCTATGTGGCCCCAACGAGGTTACACCAGAGGGCTAATTCCCCCGCCATATTCTCAAGCCCACCTGGGTCGGTGCTGGAGTTTAGTAGTGTCCTTTCTGGACGGGGGCCCACTCTAACTATAACGATGCAACACACGCACGAACACACACAATCACAGTACGGCTGTATAGAAGACATTATGTATAAATATTGTATATGGCATTTTATACTCGGCATTATCTTCATTATATATGAACACGAAGAAAAATTCGCATATGTTGTAGTTACGAAAGTGTGAATGGAAATAAACACCTCCAAACCACCCAGTGAGTCCACACAACGTTTACAGCCCTTGTGTGTGTGTGCCAGACCACGATGCTTCCACCACACCCCATCATTCGCGTAACTATATGAAAAATCGTGTTTAATTTAACTACATATTTCAAAAACCTTAAATTACATGTGATCAGTCACTCCTCATTTGACACACTTATAGTGTAATACTTTGACCATCCCACCTGGGCACATGGAGGCCCACGGTAACTCTCACGGGGCAACATACGCACGAACACACAAGTTATGATATGAACCCTTCCAGGCTTCACTATCATTATCATGTTATGTTCATCTTGCTCTGTATCTTGGTAACTAGTCATAGTATCAATACATGACAGTGTTATTAGTATAATATTGTAACTTTTTACCTACAGTTATTGTTGTAAATCATGGACAGGAAGGATACATAAATTGTAATATCAAGTGTATGGTTCGCTCAAAGCCACCCCAAGTCAGACAACGCGTCACACAAAGTTACACTGTGTGTGTGTGTGTGTGTGTTCTGTAACATTAAGCTTCATCCTTAGTAGGTAAGATGTTTCATAAAGAGGTTTCTCCCATTCGTCATTGTGAGCATCGTCCCAGAGCACATTGTTTCCATCAAAACCATGGTTCATCCTTATTTCCCTTCTTCCGTGTAACTATATCCATATGGCTAAGTGCTTGCTTTTCATTTCTTTATTTACCAAAATAATGTGGATCAGTTACTCGTTATTTAACACATACATGCACTTAGAGCATCAAGATTGTTTTGTAGGCATGACTATTGGTTAATTGAAACCCCAAAACCATGGTTTTGATGGAAATAGTGTGCTCTGGGATGATGCTCACAATGACGAATGGGAGAAACCTCTTTATGAAACATCTTACCTACTAAAGATGAAGCATAATGTTACAGAACACACACACACACACACACACACACACATGTTCCTTTACCTATCTCAAATGAAGGCTTTTGTTAAACCACCAATGTGTGTAATAAGTCATTTATGTCCATTGTATATTTTCAGCCTTCGGGCTGCAGAACTTTTTCAATAAACCGTTAATTATTATTATTTATTATTATTATACACACACACACACACACATTGCAACTTTGTGTGATGCGTTGTCTGACTTTGAGCGAACTCTACTCTTGATATTACAATTTATGTATCCTTCCTGTCCATGATTTACAACAAGGAGATGTAAACAGGGAAACCAGATACCAGATGAACAACGATGCCATAGAGAAGTCCGACTGCGAGAGAGATTTAGGGGTAATGATAAGTAGGAACCTTAAGCCAAGTAAACAATGTGTTTTTGCTCGTAACAAGGCTAATAAAGTACTTGGGTTCATACAAAGGAGTGTTAGTTACAAGACTAGCGAGGTGATCCCAAAACTGTATCTTGCGCTTGTGAGACCACACCTGGAGTACGCAGTTCAGTTCTGGTCACCGTATTACAGAATGGATATAGAATCCTTGGAAAGAATTCAGAGGAGAATGACAAGACTAATCCAGGGCATTAGGAACCTTGAGTATAGAGACAGGTTAATTTGCACTCCCTCGAGAGACGTAGAGTGAGGGGCGACCTGATAGAGGTGTATAAATGGAAGTCAGGGCTAAACAAAGGGGACATTACAAAGGTACTCAAACTATCCAACCAGGAGAGAACTCATGACAATGGTTTTAAGTTAGACAAATTTAGATTTGGGCGCAAAATAGGTAAACAATTGTTTGGAAACAGAGTAGTGGATGAATGGAACAAGTTACCAAATATCGTCATTAACTCGAATACGCTGAATAGCTTCAAACATAGGTTGGATGCTTATATGAGCAATAGGGGTTGGGTGTGTATGGGACTGCCCAGTATGGGCCAATAGGCCCGCTGCAGTTTCCTCCATTCTTATGTTCTTATGTTAATAACTGTAGGTAAAAAGTTACAATATTATACTAATAACACTGTCATGAATTGATAATATGACTAGTTACCAAGATACAGAGTACGATGAACATAAGATGATCATGATAGTGAAGCCTGGAACGGTTCATATCATAACTTGTGTGTTCGTGCGTATGTTGCCCCGTGAGAGTTACTATGGGCCTCCGTGTGCTCAGGTGGGATGGTCAAAGTATTACACTATAAGTGTGTCACATGAGGAGTGACTAATCCACATGTAATTTAACGTTTTTGAAATATGTAGTTAAATTAAACAAGATTTTTCATATAGTTAAGTGAATGATAGGGTGTGGTGGAAGCATTGTGGTCTGGCACACACACACAAGAACTGTAAACGTTGTGTGGTCTCACTGGGTGGTTTGGAAGTGTTTATTTCCATTCATAATTTCGTAACTACAACCTATGGTAATTTTTCTTCGTGTTCATATATAATGAAGATAATGCAGAGTATAAAATGCCTTATACAATTTTTATACATAATGTCATCTATACAGCCGCACTATGACTGTGTGTGTTCGTGAGTGTGTTGCCTCATGATAGTTAGAGTGGGCCCCCGTCCAGAAAGGACACTGTACTAACCTCCAGCACCAACCCAGGTGGGCTAGAGATTATGGTTTCCGACTGTACCTCTTGTATGATAAGTTCTGTGTTTTTTTTTTTTTTTTTTCCCTGGTAACAGTATGGGATTCTTTTGGTATGGATGGAGAGCAGCACGCTTCAGTCGGCCACATACTCTGATCAGGCAGTCTGCACTTAGGTAAGGTTCCAGTCTGCTTACGTCACCAGTCCTGACAGTGTCCTCGTTCCAGCGCATCCATCTCGTGGGAAAATCCCTGCCTTTGTATCAGTTGCAAGATAGCTGATCTTGCCTCATCTAACTCGCTGATCTTCAGTCGATCCCTTTGGTGACGATCTTCCTTTGGATCGCTGAAGCGCCACTGTATGAACCTCCTGAGCCATGCCACACCTTTCTGTACCTGATGCCATGAGGAGTACCTTGCCCATAGCCCTTTTAGGGTACTCTCCCCCTGGTCAGTGCTCGTTGCCAGCACTGTTGCATCTCCTTTTACCTCCGGGTCTCCATCTGCAAGGTTAGGAATCGGCTTTGGGTTCTTTGGCCAATTGTTGCCTCCCAATAAGAGAAAGGAGGGTCCCTGAATCCATCTGCAGTCCTTGTTCAGTTCTGCCCCATGCAGTCCACGGATGGCATCATCAGCTGGGTTTTGGTTGGGGGCTCACGTGTCGCCATTGTTCTGCATCGGAATTCTCATTTCTTATGTATCTTTGCAATTTGGTATGCCACAAAGGTATGGAAGCGCCGTTCAGTGTTTCTTATGTATTGAAGGGTGACCATGCTGTCTGTCCAAAACACTGATCTGTCGATCTGCAACTCTAGTTCTTCTCTCAGTTGTTTGTCTGCTTTGGCCGCCAACACTGTTGCACATAGCTCGAGCCGAGGTATGGTTTGCTGTTTCAGAGGAGCTAGCTTGGCTCTACTACACACAAAGGAGGTAGAGTGGGCTCCTTCTCCACTTGTGATCCTGAGGTAGGATACAGCCCCGTATGCTTGCTGGGAGGCGTCACAGAAGTGGTGCAGTTGTACCATAGTTATTGGATTTGCGCATTCAGGGTGGTAACATCGAGGGATACTTACTTCAGAAAAGTGGGGAAGATCATTTAGCCACTGCCACCAATCGGCTCTGTGGTGTTCGGTCATTTGCTCATCCCACCCACTGCCTTGCCTGAATTCGTCCTGGAATATGGTTTTGGCTCGTATGGTGCTCGGAGAGATGAGTCTTAATGGGTCGTATATGGAGCTGACCATACTCAGGAGACCTCGCTTCGTTTGTGGCTTCGTTGGGATCTGAATTCGGACTTTAAGTTCGTCATTCTCTACATCCCACATGATTCCCAATGCTCGCTCAGCTGGGAGCCTGTCATCTTTCACAAGTACTTCTTTCACTTCCATGGCTCTTTCCGTTTGTAGGACTGCTCTGAGGACCCCTTTGAGGTTGTAGATTTGTAGATCCATTTTATAAGACTGAACCCGCCTTTCTTCATCATCTGCCTCAGTTGGTGAGTGACTATTGCCGCCTTCCCTGGTGATGCTACTGAAAGAAGCAGATCATCGACATAGAAGTTGCGACTTGCTTTCTTAATTTCTTCATGGAGCCCTTGCCTGTGGTCTTGGAATGTTCATCGTAGTGCATATCCAGCACATGATGGGCTCCACACTCCGCCGAAAAGAAGTACCTTCATCCGGTAAGTGACCGGGTCTCCCGATAGTTGGTCATCTGTCCACCACAGGAAGAGCAGGGCGTCTCGATGCCCAGGCAGTACTCGTACCTGGTTGAACATAGCCTCGATATCAGCCATGAGTGCGACCCTTTCTTGTCGGAACCTAACGAGGACTCCCACTAATGTGTACTTGAGGTCTGGTCCTTGCATCATTTGGCTGTTCAGGGACACTGAGTCATACGTTGCTGCACAGTCAAAGACTATTCTCAACTTCCCGGGCTTATTTTGGTTCAATACTGGGTGATGTGAGAAATACTAAGTTTTCCCCGGCACAATGGTAAGCTCACGGTGTGGGACTCTCTCAGCATGTCCCTTGTTGATCAGGTTTTGTATCTCTTCTCGATACCTTTGACGGAGGTCTGGGTCTTTCAGGAGACGTTTCTTCAAGCTCGCTAACAGTTGCTCAGCCAGTTTTTCTGTAATTCACGAGTCCCGGCTCTTCATGACGGAATGGGAAGTTGATAGTGCCCGTCCACCCTCGCCACTGAAGTTGACCACAGCATCATTACTCTTCTGTCTTCAACAGAGATGGGGCTTTCATTGCAGTAGTCTGAGTCACATTCCCAGGAGTGTCTGACCTGTTTCTCTATACGTGTCTCCAGGCGCAGCGGCTTTTCTTAGATGAGGTGGTTGATTGCTAGGTGATCACTTATTGCAGGTCCAATCGGTCCATTTATGGACCGCAACCGATAATTTCAGTGAAGAAGGCAGGTCTTTAATAACGAGGATTCTGGGAATGTTGATGGATCGACTTCTTCTCATCCCGACGCTAGTCACCTGCAGATCAACCCCTTTGGCCTTCACGCTCTTCGTCTCCTTCAGGATCGTGCCTATGGAGATTGAAACAGACTTCCCTGTTATTCGTAGTCGGTTGGCTAGGCTCTCGGTGTAGTAAGACCTGTTGCTGCCCGAGTCCAAGAGTGCTCCGGTGATCACTGTTGTATTCGTCTCTCGCCTTATCTCCCCGACCTTGACCTTTAGTATGGGGAGTGCAACTTTGCCTGGTTCTGCTAGTCATATGTCGTAATCTTCTGGCCCCTCACACTGGTTATTTTCGCGATCATAAGTATGTGTGGCCCATTTATACGGGTTTTCTCGGTTCGTGGTCACCAGAGCAACATGCCTGTTTCCAGCCCTTTTCTCCGTAACTCTCATGCTGGATTCGGGTTTCCATGGCCTAGCTCCACTGGTCGTTGATTTCGGTGCCGACATGATGGCCTTGAGTTGAAAGTCACCTAGCTTCTGGCGCTTGTGGCCGGGCGACACTTCTGACTGGTGTGCCATCCATGGTGGAAGCTCTTTTCATCCCTTGAAAACTGGCTAAGAGTTCCTTTCTTGATGGTTCGTCCTGGTTTGGCGTGTTATTGCGCATAGAATTTTTCGAGAAGTGCAGGAGATTCGAGTGGAAGCTATAGCAGCCATCTATGCCGAACCTTGTCTTCTAGATGCACTCGGCCATCAGCTGAGTGCGATCTAAGCAGGCGAAACAGCGACGTTCTTCACGTAGTAGTAAAGTTCGCTCTCCAGTCTACATGCTGAGGAATGCTTGGCGTCTCTGCAGAGGGTGATATCCAGAGTACAACGGGCAAGTGCGGTCGTCCCTTCCTCTAACCTCCTTTCTTCCCGAAGTCACTAGGCCCACAGGTTTCCTTCCTGATGAGGATAGGGTATGGGTGTGAGCCTGTTCGTCTCCCGCTCGGCTCTTCTTGTCTTTGTCCCCTTAATCCCTCCTTGTCCTGTCTAGCATCTCCAGTACAAGATCCTTCATCCACTCGACCCCTGGAGAACTCCCGTGTCTCCTTTCATAGTCATATGCTCTATCCTGGTATCGCTCCCTGAACTTTCCCATGAATCTCTTAGCCAAAGTATTCAGTGATTCGTACGTGTCAATTTCGTACAGTTTTCCCAGTACCTTTAAGTTGTTTACACAATTTCCCAGATGGTCCACGAGTTCCTGAAGTCCTTTAATGTCATCTGTTCTCACGGCTGGGCCACGAAGGACCCTGCCTATTAGTTCTTGGACATCGGCTTGCTTGTTGCCATTGTAATGACCACGGTCGTACACGTCAGTTATCGTAAAATCAGACGATTCATATTACACTCAATAGCCCACAAAACATGTAGCTATGCCTTCTTTATTGAGTCTCCCATCTGAGGCATCTGTTTTCTCATCGCTTCAAGACGCCTTATACTGCCAGGCTGGGGGTCACTAATACTAAGGGTAAATACTTAACTCTAATCTTAATTTCTAAGGGTCGCTGCCACCAGACCCCCTCTGGACAGCATGTAGCTCGTTAGGTAGCGTGCAGAGTGGACTAGGCATTGGGTTAGGTTTTCCATTGACCAGATCGATAAGGGGAAAGAAGGGTGAAACCTTAACATGTCTTAATTAATTTATTCCTTATAAAGCATACTGGTAAAACATACAAATGAATTGGTTTTCCTCAGAAGAACAACGAAAATGTTGGTTACCCAGATGGGCACCAGACGTCTTACATTAATGGCGCGTCATCCACATACTTATTACATAACAATCTGTGACCACCTTACCTCGGTCATTCCTTCTTACACTACCCCTTAACACATCAGACTGCTCCACCTGTATGGAATATAGCACCGTCGGTTATCATGCATAGTAGCACCATCTCAACACACCTGTTACACTCCACACCTGCAGGTATGGGACTCCTTGTAACTTTTAGGTATACATACAGGCACCTCGTTCGCACACCGCCCTCGGTGGGTAAAGACGAGGGCTTCACCAAGAGACATACCAGTACTATTTCTACGCCTGGTTTTATAGGTTGCTCCAAGTGACGACCGCGGAGTTTCTCACGGTCTCCATATTTGTTACTACTCATTTGGAGTGGTTTGCTGGAAATCCACAGGTTCACAGTGGATTGGCATAGCTGGGAGTAGTCACCACCTGGTGGGACGCTCACAGAGGTAATGGCTGCCGCACAGCAAGGCACTCCGACTGCATGGGACCTCTTCATCACCTCACTTTCATCCAAGGGGTTAGTCAACTCGCGGCACCATCTCGTATAATTTCTGTTATAGTGTACGGACCCTTCCACTTGGTATTCAACTTCCTACTGGTCCCAGGGCTGGGCCACTCATTCCTCACCCATACTGTTTCTCCTAACTGCATAGTTTGGTTCGTTCTTGATCTATTTGCTCTCTCTCTGGTCTCTCGTGACATTCTGGCAGACGTCTCTTTTATCAACCTATGGGCTTCTTTCAACTCTTGACTGCTCTCATTCTCTATTATAGGTAAGTCAATTCCTACTTGTCTTTGTACATGCCTCGAAAAAAAAGCAAAATGAGGCTGTACCCCAGTTGTGGCATGGACAGACGCGTTCAGAGCAGACTGCACGGGACTGAGAAATTTTGGCCACTGAAGTGGATTATCTTCACACATGATTGCAAGTGTTGTTTTAAAGGTCCTGTGCATTCTCTCTGTGACACTATTACCTCTAGGGTGGTAAGGCAATGTAAAATAGTTCTTAATGCCAGTTACTTTACATAATTCTCTAAACTGTGTTGCTGTAAATTCACCTCCATTATCTGCAATGACTACTCCAGGGCTACCAAAAACATTAATGAATTTACCAAATTCTCTGGTCACTTCCTGAGTGGATTTGGTTCTCAAAGGATAGAAATTGACAAACCTAGAATAGTGATCTATGACGGTCAACACATAGCGATATCCATTCACACTATTATGTAAGTCTGTCAAGTCCACAGATACTCTCTCCAAAGGTTTAGTTACTTCTGACATCCCTGCCATTGCTGTTCTAACCCTTTTTTCCCTTTGAATCTTTGACACACTTCACATGATTCTACAAATTTCACACAGTCTCTGCGATAATTGGGCCAATAGAAAAGGCCTTCTACTCTGGCTATAGTCTTCCATTGTCCTAAGTGACCTGATGTCTCTCTGTTATGTGCCCACTCTAATGCTGCTCTACGCAAATGATCAGGTATTACAAGGCAGTACATCAATGCTTTATCAATTTGTTCCTTCGCTAAATACAATACCCCCTCCGCTACTTCAAATTTGTCAATAGTCGTCTTGGGATATTTATGTTTGGGTACCTGTCTTCCTTCTAAATAACTAGCCAATGCTTCCCATCTCTCTTCTTTTCTTTGTTCTACTCCTAACTGCCTATGCGTTAACCCGTCTAGCTGAGGGAACTGACCTGCCGTCCTACTCCTGGCTACTTTCCTTAAGGCCCCGACCGGCCTACTCAATGCGTCCGAGACTAGATTTGCCTTTCCAGGTTTGTACTCTATCTTATAGATGTAATCCCTCATTTCCAACATCCATCTATTCATTCTTTGACTTTTAGTTTTCTTGTTAAAAACAGACGTTAACGGCTGGTGATCAGTTTTGGTGGTGAATCGGGAACCCCACAAAAAATTATGGAAAAATCTACAGGCTAACACCATTCCTAATGCTTCTTGGTCAGTGGTGGAATACCGTGTTTCCGCGGGCTTTAGCTTCCGAGAGAAATACCCAACAGGACGCAAGAATCGTCATCCTGTAATTGATTCAGTGATGCTCCTACACAAAAATTACTAGCATCACTGTGTAGCTCAAATGGTTTATCCATGTCTACTTTTACCAGTACTGGAAAGGAAGCTAATGTCCGCTTTAACGTTTCAAAAGCTGTCTGGCATTCATCTGTCCAAGCAAAGGCAGCCTGTTTCTTAGTGAGTTCTGTGATAGGA